TGCCTCTCGGAGTCTCCTCGGATGTGTCTTGGAAGCTTTTTGGAGGCCTCTTGGAGCGGCTTGGGGGCATCTTGGCGGGCCCAGGGCCGTCTTTGAGCCCATCCTCTGGGCGTCTTGGGGCCCCCTGGGGCCACAAGATTCTGGGCGCTTCTTGCGGCCATCTTGGAGGACATCGTTCAAAAAAGAAGGTTTCCTGAATTGGCGTTGCCCCTCTAGGGCCTTTAAAATCGCCTCATAGGGCGCTTTTGGAGCGCTCGTGGGCGCTCTTGGGGCCGTCTTGGGGCTCTCTTGCGCCCCTCTTGGGGCCCTCTTGGGCCATCTTGGAGCTATCTTGAGGCCTCGGAAGGCCATCAGAAGCGAAAAGGCGAGAAAGCAAACAACATTGATTTTCCCTAGGTGTTTGAAAGGTTTTGGCCTCTTGGGCCTCCTTGGAGAGCTCCGGGGCCACTTGGAGCCGTCTTGGGGCGGTCTTGGGGCCTCTTGGAGCATCTTGGAAGCCATCTTGAGCCACCTGGCGCATTCTTCAGCCATCTTGGGCTATCTTGGACACTCCAACCCTTCGGGACCCCCCCCCCGTCCAGGTCCAGGGGGGGTAAGGGGATGGGTCAAGCTACCCACCCGCCCGCAAGCCGTCTAGCTCACTCCCACACGCCCTCCCAACACATGAGTAACACCCGAGCCTGAGCATGTTCAGCGGTCGTCTGTGGATGGGCAGCTACTGGGAACCAGAGCCGACCCCAGGTGCGCGACGCTTGGGCGAGGTGCGCCACGCGTGCCAGGGACGCCATGCGCGCCAGGCACCCCTGGGGCCCGAGCGTGCCAGGCACTCCTGGTGCGCCAGATGCGCCACATGCTCTGAGTGCGCCAGGTGTGCCGCGCACTCTAGCCGCGCCAGGTGCGTCACGTTCGGGGCACGTGCAGAGTGCGTCGGGTGCGCCTGCGCACCTGACAGCACACATCGGGAAACATGTCGGCCCCCACCATCCTTATCGAAAACCGATGCCCATCATTGTGTCTGGTGGGCATGCGCACAACAGGCCATACGCCACACACCCCGCCGTCCCTGTCAAAAACCACTTGACAGTGATCGCTGGGTGGCCGTGCATGATCCAGATTTAGCCGCGAGGCGCATTTTGTATTGTTTCTCGTCAGGGATGGTAGCCCTGCGCACAGCAGGCAATATGCTGACACCCCCGCCGTCCCTGTCAAAAACAATACAACATGCTCGCGGGTCTCACGAACATGACTCCAGACTTTGCCCCAAGGTGTACTTTGTATTGTTTTCTTGACGGGGATGGTGGGGTGGCCCGCATCGGGTTGGTTGCGCATGCTCCGAATTTGTGTGTTCGTATTGTTTTTGACTAGGATGCTTGGGGGGGTCCTCACGGGGTCCTCAGTATTCCTGGTTGGCTGCCGGTCGCCTGGGGGAGGGCGTGTATATTGCTAGGGAACAGTGATATGCCCTCCCCGAAGGGGAAGAAAAGGATTGGAAGAGGAGCCTCCCTAGACCACCTACGGCCAGAGGGCTGGTGGGATTTGATGGCTTAGACCAATCATGAGAAACATCGTTTATTCATCATGAGAAATAGGGCACGCCGACCACTGCAAAGGGCAGCCGCCATGAATGATTGTACCCCTAACTTTGGGCCTCTCAACGGTGGGAAGCTGCGATGGGGCCACCGCTATCTTGGAGAGCTGCAGCACTGAGCGTATGCGTTTTCCTTCAGTCTCCGAAGCAGGTCAAGAACACCCTCGCCGCATCCCTCCCGTTCGAACCTTCGTGTCAAGTTCAACTAGGCACATCGGCGGCAGTCATTTCTGATCCTAGAAGCAGTGGAACGAGGCATGGTGTGTTTTCGTACCACTTGTTCGTGTGGTGTGCAGTTCTCTCATCGCCATTTTGAACCACGGCTTCAGCATACCACGGCATTGTTTGTTATTTACGGTTGGCTCAGTCATCTTCGGTAGAGGTGCCAATGCATTCTAGCTCATCTCTCCACTCGGCGCAAGTTTTTGGTCCGACATTCCAGATCAGCCTCAGTATGCAGATTCACCGCCAGATTCATGGATGCTGTCCAGCTGCCTGCGGCAACCTCCGCCAACGCACCAGCGCAGCAGCGCAGCAGGAAAGAGGCTCCTCCTCCTCCTCCTCCTCCTCCTCTTCCTCCTCCTCCTCCTCCTCCTGCTCCTCCTCCCCCCTTAGGAGCTTCCAGGAAGCCGTTGGTGTGCCCGTCGGGGGGCCTCGCGGTCATCTTTGGGGCGCGACGGTGCCACCGAGCTCTCCCCAAAAGAGGCTCGGTGGAACCTTTTCGGGGGATGTCGGGCCGTGCCTTTGGGGTGCCCTTGGGCCTTCTTGGAGCCCTCTTGTGTCCTATTGATGCATTCTCGGGCCGTCTTGGGAGTGCCTTGAGGCGCTCTTGTGGCCGGCGTGGACCGACTTGGGCGTTCTGCTTCCAGAGCCCTCCTGCGTCATTTCGACGGAGCCGCCCCCGCCCGCTCGACGCTGCAGACTTCCATGCGTGAGTGCTCTTCCCTGCCCCCTCGCTCTGCGCGGCCGCCCTCGCCCTTTGCTCCCTCGCACCGCGTGCCGGCCAATTCGCCACTCGGTTGCCCCGAGTTGCGAATTGCCCACACCGCCTCTGCCTCTCACCACCCACCAAACCACCCCAACCCAACCCGAAGGCTCAGATTTACCCTCGATTTCTAGTGGGGGGGGGGGGTCCGGGAACATCGAAAAAACACATATGGAGCCCATCCCCCCCCAACCCGAAATTCGGGTCTTCGGGTTGGGTTGGGGTGGTCTGGTAGGTAGTCAGCCTCGCCGCCGACGGGAAAAGTCATTTTGATGGATTCTTGGGCCGTCTTGGAACCCTCTCGAGGCGCTCTCGTGGCCGGCGTGGGCCGTCTCGGGCGCCTTGCTTCTCCGGGCCAGCTGCATATTTGTCGGAACGATTTGGAGCTGGAACGCCATGGAAGCAACAACAATAACAAGTGCCCGTGGTTCTTCTCGTTTCTGCCTCTCAAAGGTCTCGCGGGAGGCCTCCTATCCTCGGGCGCCTTCTGGGGCCTATGATGGCCCCTGTTGAAGCCTTCGGGGGGGTCGCTGGGCTGTGCTGGGGTCGCAGGCGCGGTCGCGGATTCAGGGCGCCGCGCGGGGTCGCAAGGTCTCATGTGAAAGAGCGAGGGCAGCAGCATGCACACACATACATAGATATATAGATGTATATATATATAGACACACAGAAAGAGAGAGAGAGAGAGAGAGTGAGAGAGAGAGAAAAAGAAAGAAAGAGAGAGAGAGAGACACATAAAGAGAGAGAGAGAGAGGAAGAGAGAGAGAGAGAGGAAGACAGAGAGAGAGAGAGAGAGAGAGAAAACGAAAGAGAGAGAGAGAGAGAGAGACCGATGTCGGACACTGGTCTGGTCTGTTTTATGGGACCGCCTGGCTGTGCCAGGGGCTTGCTTGGGTCCCCAGCTTGCGCGTCGTGGGGGAGTTCGAACTCTGGAGTTCTAGGCCTCCCAGATGGGGTCCGAGTAGATGGGGTCGAAGGATCGCTCCGCATCGCCGATGCATCGACGATGCGGCTCGATGTGGAGTCAGAATTTCTCCACGCCGATTGCGCCGATGCATCGGCGACGTCGCCGGTGCATCGCCGATGCGTCCTCGATGTATCGCCGATGCATCGTTGATGCGGTGCGATCCTTCGACCCCACTTAGTCGGACCCTATCCAGGCTGGCTCGCCCGAGGAGGGCCCAGTGAAAGGAGGGGGAGCGGCGACGGGGTCAGGGCAAGGGGGGTCTAACGCGACGGCGACGACGACGACGCCGATTACGACGACGACGACGACGACGACGGCGACGACGACGACGACGACGACGACGACGTCGAGTCAATCAGAACAGCGTCTTCCACACGCTGACAGGGTCGGCGGATTTAACAGCCTCTCTTGCTGTGTATCCCACGCTTTGCCTTGGCATATCTCCGTCTTAGCCCCACGAGCTACCAGGCTGGTCTAGGTGGGCACCAGATATACACCCACGCCGACATTGGCCACGCCAGTCCTCGGCCCAGGATCGGTGCAGCTTGCGCCTTCTTGGCCAAGCCAAGGGGACCTATAAACCTGTCTTGGGGGGATCGGTTTAGACGCAGTGTCCAGGTCCTCCCATCGTTTCGGGTTTGCGTCGAGGGGGGTAGCCCAAGACATGGTCAGGGAGCGAATCTAGCCTTAGGCGGATAGTTCCTTTCTCCGAGGGTCATCCAGAGCGATTTCTCTCGAACCACACCTTGGCCGCGTGCAGAGGGCGCTACTGGGAGGGGGGAAGGCCTCTTAGAAGCACTCCTGCTTCTCGGAAGGCGCGGGCCTTATCTGTAGATGTAGGGCCGGCGCCTTCTCAGAAGCAGCCTACCTTTGAGAAGCCTTGCCCCCTCCCCCCGCCCCCCTCGTGCGCGCCGCCAACCACCTCTGCCCCTACCCCACCTCTGCCCCTACCCCGCCTCTACCTGTCTCCGAGGGCCATCAGAGCGGTTCTTCTCGAAGCCCACCTCCGCCCCTACAGTCGGACCGAGGTATAAGATCGACATCGGTTCGGGGAGGGTACCCGAATGCTCTTCGTGGCTGTTGGAGCTGGATGCGCTTGTGCATCCTGGGGAGGGTACCCTGGATGTCCTGTTTTCTGGCCAGCGGAGGGTCTCATGTCTCTGGAGGATGTCATCATGGCCTAGGTCCGACGGCACCCCACCTCTGTCCCTAACCCCGCCTCTACCCTCCTCCAAAGGCCCTCCGGAGCGATTCTCCTCGAAGCCCCCCCCCCTGCCCCTGCCCCGCCTGTATACCCTTCTCCGAGGACCGTCCATTGGCGAGTCTTCTCGAAGCCTGCCGGCTGCTCCTGTGTCCGTGGGCTGCTCCTGTGCACCCCGGGGAGGGCACCCCTGGGCTGCTCTTGTGTGCTTTGGCCGGCGGAGGGCCTCCTGTTCTCTGGAGGATGTTCTCCCGGCCTGCAGGTCCGACTTGGAGGAACGAAACATGGCATAAACACAGAAACTCGGAGGTCAGCGCGGGTTTTTTGGATCCGCGCTGGACCCCCCCTCCCTGGCGCGCGGAGCGCGCCATGTGCGGCGCCGGAGGCGCCGCCAGGGGGCCCCAGCGCCGATCCGAGAAATCCGCGCGGACCTTCGAGTTTTATGTTTCCGCCATCGTTCGTTCCCCTACGACTGCACCCCGCCTCCGCGCTCTCCCGACGTTCTCGCCCGAGTCTTAAGTCGGGCATGTCCCTCGACAGGAGGATTGTTCAAAAGTAGTCCAAGAATTGTCCGGGGACGATGCTTCGGTTGTTCCTTGCCAGTGTTCTCGTATGTTGGGAGGGAGTATTCTTTGGACTCTTCCGCCCAAATCCGCCTGTATGGGGGACACGCCCGACCAAACTCGGGCGGGACGAAAGGGGGGATAGGGAAAGGGGGGGTTACGAAATCTGCTGCATGCAGCTGGTTTCGGCCCCACCGAGGGGCCCATTCCTCGATACATGGGCGCCTCCTGGCGCCGGGAGGCGCCGGGAAAATCAGCTACGTGAGCTGATTCTCAAACCCCCCTTTTGCTATCCCCCCTTTTCGCCCGACCCGACAAACCTGAGTCGCCCGCTCTGCCGCGGCGGCCGGCCGGGGACCGCCGAGGGGGCGGCGGCCACCCTCTCGGGCGCCGTCTACTGCGGCTTCCACGACGACCTGGCGTGCATGCTGGCCTGCGCGGCGGGAGGGTGCGGCCCTCACGGAGCGGCTGAGAGGGTGCAGGATGAGCAGAGAAAGAACACACGGACACACAGACACACACACACAGACCCAGACACAGACACAGACACGGACACGCATGCACGCACACGCGCACGCACACGCACGCACACACGCACACGCACACGCACACGCACACGCACACGCACACGCACACTCACACGCCACATGCACATGCACACGCACACGCACACGCCACATGCACACGCACACGCACACGCACACGCACACGCACACGCACACGCCCACGCCCACGCCCACGCACACGCACACGCACATGCACATGCACACGAATCAGTAGTGACCCCCCTCCGGTTTTCGAGGGGGGGTTCGAACCGGTAGTGACCCTTCTCTGGTCTCCTGTGGGGGGGGGAGGGGTTCGAACCGGTAGTGACCCCCCTCGGTTTTCCGAGTGGGGGGGGAACCGGTAGTGACCTCTCTCTGGTTTTCTGTGAGGGGGGGGGAGAGTAGTGACCCCCCCTGGGTTTTCCGAGGGGGTGGTGTTCGAACCGGTAGTGGCCCTTCCCGGTTTTCCTGAGAGGGGGGGAGGGGGGGGAGGGTAAGGGAGGGGCGGGGTTTTGCCAGGGGGAAAGGGGGGGGGAGGGGGGGGGTCCAGCAGAGGCGGAGGGGGATTTTCGGAGGGGCGGGGAGACCCCCGGGTTCAGAGGAAGAGGGGGGGGGGGGAATTTTCCACAGTAAAGCGGCAGTGGATCACGCTCTCTCCCACATGAGAATCTCTTCGGTGCGCACGTTTGTGACAATCGACGGCTCACGATGGAGATGATGCTTGCAGGATGCCAGGATGCCAGGAAGCCAGAGTGCCAGGGCGCCATGATGCCAGGACGCCAAGATGCCAGGGATGCCAGGATGCCAGGGATGCCAGGATGCCAGGGTGCCAGGATGCCAGGCGGCCAAGATCCCTGGATGACAGCATGGCGAGATCCCAGGGTGCCAAGAGTGCCAGGATGCAAGGGGCGCCCGGATGCGAGGCGGCCAGGAGGCCAGCATGCCAGCACCGCAGGATCCCAGCATGGCCTGTGCAACCCGTGTGGCCCGTGGGATATGCGGGACCTGTGGGACCTGTGGACTGTCTGGGACCCGTCCGACCTGTGGGACCTGTGGGACTCGTGCGACCTCTGGGAGGTTGTGGGGCCAGTGCCACCCGTGGGAGGTATGGGACTTGTGAGGCCTGTGGGAATTGTATGACCGAGGCTACTTGTGGGGCCTTTGAGACCTGTGAGGCCTGTGTGACCCGTGCGACCTGCGGGGCGTGTGCGACTTGCGGGACCTGTGTGACCAGTGAGACTGTCAGACCTGCGGGGCCTGTGCTGGATGCTAGTGTTGCCAGGATGCCAGGGATGCCAGGCTGCCCATGACACCAGGGATACCAGTGATGCCAGGATGCCGGGGATGCCAGGATGCGAGCGCAAAACCAATACCAGGAGTTTGGTTCATCGAGCACGACTGGCCCGAAGTGGCTTATGCATTTGTTCTCAGTCCCAGGAATTGAACTCCGCGAGCACGGAGGGCCCGAAGTGACTTACAGTTGGCTCCAGAGACTCAACACATCGGTTCCAGGAGGGGAGCTCTTGGGGCACGAGGAGCTGGAAGTGGCCTCCAGTTGGCTTTGGACATTCCACATCATCCCCTGGAGCGGCTGGGAGCACGCAGGGCCCGAAGTGGCTTATAGTTTCCAGGAGTGGAGCTCTGGAAGCACGAAGCGCCCGAAGTGGCTTACAGTTGGTTCCAGGCGCTCGAACAGTGCTGGGAATGGAGTTCTGGCGACTCGATGATCACAAAACTTGTGTGTTTTTACAGGGTGCGCCGATGGCCGCCTCGGATCAGCAATGCGAAGTGGGGGCCCTGAGACTTTCTCCAAATGCAGTCCGCGAGGGCTGGGGATGGAGTGTGGTGAATGATGATGATGATGATGATGATGATGATGATGATGATGATGATGATGATGATGATGATGATGATGATGATGATGATGCTGATGCTGATGATGCTGATGCTGATGCTGATGCTGATGCTGATGCTGATGCTGATGCTGATGCTGATGCTGATGCTGATGCTGATGATGATGATGATGATGATGATGATGATGATGATGCTGCTGATGATGATGATGATGATGATGATGCTGATGATGCTGATGATGCTGATGCTGATGCTGATGATGATGATGATGATGATGATGCTGATGCGGATGCGGATGCTGATGCTGAGGCTGATGCTGCTGGTGATGATGATGATCATGATGCTGATGCTGAAGCTGATGCTGATGCTGACGCTGCTGATGCTGATACTGCTGCTGATGATGATGGTGATGATGATTCATCGTGATACTGGTGACCAGTGATCATGATGTGATGGTGATTGTGATGATGACGGTGGTGTGACGGCGGTGGTGAGTGTGAAAGGAGAGGAAGAGAGGGTGAGGTATTCTTGCTTGCGTGGGGCTGGCCAGAGACAACAGGAATCCAATTCATGATGTGGGGAACAATGTTTTTTTTTTGTGCATGTGTGTCACATCAGACCATGCCGAAACCTTTCAGCACTCATCGTGCACCCGCCAACTCTGTCAACTAATACCATGCGGGCCACGCGTGCGTCTCCGCGCGCGCATGTCGAAATCATTACAAAACCAGTGGTCTTCGAAGCATCCCAGCAGATGTGTTGAACACCCATGCAAAGCCAGTTGTATTTCACGAGGGCTGTCAGGGGGTTCTGCGCGCGCGCACTTCCTCACCATCCTCATCCGCACCATCGTCATCATCATCGCCAGCGTCATCATTACCATCATCCTCGCGGTCACCATCAGTTTCATCACCATCATCATGATCGTCGTCGTCGTCATCACCACTGTCAGCAGAATCAGCATCACCATCACCATAATAAGCATCATCGTCATCGTCGTCGTCGTCGTCCTCGTCATCAGCGCTGCCATTATCAGTATTATCATCACAGTCGCCGATATCGTCACAATCATCACTTGCCCGTCCGAGCCATGGATCTGCATGCAAAGGGTCCTAGCGTCACTGCGCTAGCTGAAGTTCGCCAACACGCCACGATTGTGTGAGTGGGATGCTTGCAAGAGCATTCAGATTGACATTCCAAATTTGGTCAAGACGAATTGTCCCCTACACTTATTGCTCTTCGTTTATTTCACTCTAATGTTGCATCACAGTTATTGCACCGCGTATGTAGCATTCCAAATATTGCAGCGCATGAGTTGCACCTCCTGTTTGCACCACATCGCTTGCACCACATAGCTTGCACCACATGCAGTGTATCCCATAAATTACACCACGTAGCTTGCACCCCATATATTGTACCATGGCCCCCTCACTTGCGGATAAGAGTGAGAGATGGGGTGGGGTTTTGGGAAGTGTGCGAGGCTCGGAAGCACATGGTAAGCCCGCCTCAGGCGCCGATTCTTTCTAACACATTTGCACAGCGACCCCCCCGCAGGCGCTGATTGTTTGTCAAAGCAATACGGGCGGGTCGAGGGTGGGTCGCTGGGCGGGTCGCGGGTGGATCGCGGTTGGGTCGTTGGCGGGTCGCGGGTGGGTCGGGGTGGGGGGTCGCGGGGCGGGTCGCGGATGGGTCGCGGGGCCAGGCTGGTAACAAGAAGAAAGGCATGAATCCGCACCGCGGAATCAGACGTAGCTTGCACTGTCACCAGGGAGGAGTAGTCAAACGGCTTTACAAAAAAGGCATCGCAGTGTCAGCGACACAGCACGCCCGTGCTCGGCCAGATCCTTGCTGCGCAGATTCCTCTGATCTCCGTGGCGGGCATACACGGCAGCGCTCTTGGACAGCACCACGTAGAGTGCACAACATGTATTGTCCCATGTAGATTGCACCCCAAATGCTGCACCACCTAGAGCGCACATCGAGAGTGTAATGACCCATTGACTGAGGAGGATGCTTTCGGTGCGATGCCAGAAGGGTGTGGCTGGCTGCGGGCAGCTTGGTGAGGGGAGATTGGGAGCCTCGTCGCGAAGCATGTGATGGCCAGGGACCAGTTGGTACGCGCAGAGAGGCTACTCAGGCCTGATCGCCTCGGTGATTCTTGTTTGCTCGGTCGTGACACGTGTTGCCCGCTCCTCTGCCCCTTTCCCCGCCTCTCTAGGGCTAATGCTGACGCATTTTTTGATTGCACAGGCCTGCCCCACGGCAGAGGCCTGCGGCATGATGTGATGCATGTGTGATGCCCAGCGCGCTGCTGTATGACCTGCGCAGCGTTCGTCTCCAAGAGTTCTCCGAGGCGGGGTCGAGGGACAGCGACGGCTCGGTCTTCTCGCTCTGGTGGCCCCGCGTGCCAGTGGCCCGTGGGTCGGGGCAGTCTGGGCCGGCTCCCCGTGGGGTAGTGCCCCGTGGGCCTGTGGCCCGTGGGTCGGAAGCCCGTGGGTCGATGGCCAGTGGGTCGGTGGCCCGCGGGCCAGAAGCCCGTGGGCTGGGAGCCCGTGGGTCCGTGCCGCGTGGGTCGTGGAGCCGTGGGTCGGGTGCCCCTCGGGTCGGCGCCCCGTGGGCTGGGAGCCCGTGGGTCAGCTGCCCCCAGGTCGAGGGAAGAAGCACGGGGGCCATGACCAAGGTGTCGTATAGGATCCTGTCGGTGCCGATCCTGGTCATGGTCCACGTCGACCGCCGCCGGTTCGCGAGGATGATCCACGACTTGACGCTGACCGAGATCGACGCCGACCAAGAACGCCACGACACGACGTTCCTCCGTTCAGTGACGCGACGTTCCCTCGTTCAGTTTTGGTCGTGGTCCCCGTGCTGTTCCCCCCTACCATGGGCTTGTGGCCCGTGGGTCCGTTGTGCCCAGTGCTTCTCGGTGTCCCATCGGGTGGGCAGTTTGCGGGTCGGTGAGCCGTGGGTCGGTGGACCATGGGTCGGTGGCCAGTGGTTCGATGGCCCGCGGGACGGTGAAACCAGCGTTATTGGGAAAGTATTTTCATCAGTCGCGGCATGGTTCGGCCAAGTGAGCGGCGCGTCGTGCGAACGTATTCTACGATATCCAGGGCGACTATCAGAAGGGACCCAAGGTGGGCGATCGCGCGCCTCCTCAGGCAGACGCTGAGCCGAAGCCGCGGCAGCGCGCCACATGTACGCCTTATCTTCGGCCCGATTGGAGCGATTTGGTATACTACGCTAGCGTAGCACACGAGGCCGAGCCCAGATATCAGAATGTTGAAAGGCAATCGGGTTCTTGCTGCGGCGGTGCAGCTGTGAATGTAGGGCCCGATCGGCAGAACAACCGCCCATGGAGTCAATATAGGGTTGATCGTGAGCGGCGGGCCAAGACCGATGTGATTCATTTCCCGCGTCACACGTTGGGTTGCAGAGTTATCGAGGCACGTCGTCTGATTGGACTGCGTCCGGAGCTGATCGGGCGTGTTTTCGATTCAAGGGGGCAGGGGCCCACCGCAGCGGTGCGAATCGGGATAAGCACAACGATGATACCTTTAGGCGCCACTAGGATGGTGACCCCAATGCACGTTCAGAGTTCAGAGCAGGAAGTCCCACCACTGTCCGAGGTCATTCTTCGTTCCACAGTGGTCGGCCGAAGAGAAGACAGAGCTCCCACACACTTCTGATCATCAGTGGGACGTTGTTTCCTCAAACGCAGGGCCAGCCGCACGTTGGGAGAATCGTGCGCAGACAATGTTGTGGCAGTAGGATATCTGGCTTGTACTCGAGAGGTTCAGCGATTTCCACCGCAGCTGCGTCGCCTCATCGAAGCTCCCCGCCATCGAAGAGGAGCACCCGATGGACTCTGTCCGATTCGCCACTTCTCGGGTTGGTCGCGCGCCAGTCTTGGGTTGGTCGCCTGCCAGATCTTAGATTGGTCGCCTGCCGGCTGTGTGATTGGTCGGCTGGTCGCCATCATATGTCTTGGGCACCCCTTCGAACCATGATCCCCCCCCTGCTGGTTAAATGCGTTCGCACGAGATCGCAAGGCGAACCGCTCGCAGCTCCCGCTGCGAGGAAGCAGCAATGCGTGCCCGCACATCGCACACATATTGCCTTTGTGGGTTCCATGGCACGTGAGGGAACCAGGTCTGCGCTTCGTCACGCGTCCACTGCCACGTGCGCTAGGTGGGACGATCCCCTTTGGGGCAACAGTTTGCGAGTTGCATGGTTGGGTGTACCTGCCGCGCTCGAATGTACATGCAGACGCAGTTCATGTATACACTGCCAGACTCGGCATCCCCTTCCGCCCCTCCGTACCCCTTGCCTCCCCGTCGCCCGCGTTACCGCTGCCCTCCACCAACGCCTGGGTGGCGGGCGCCATCATTGTGGAGTAATCTACCATCATCCATTGTTGTTTTACTTTGCCTTGTTATAGTGCTCCTTTTCTCAGTCGTTTTTGTTGTTTTGTTTGTTTTCTCTTTCTTTTTCTTTTTTTATCTCTCTCTCTCTCTCTCTCTTCCTTATTCGTCTGAACGCCACTTCTCCTCTCCGTCCTCGTCTTCCCCATCGTCCTTGTCCTTGTCTTCCTGATCCCCTTCTCCGTCCTCGCCTCCGCCGCCGCCTCCGCCGCATCCTGCGGGCTGCGTCTTTCAAAGTGCTACTTCTTGTCGATGGTTCGGCGAGGAGACGCTGCCGCTATTGTCCAGGTGGCCGCGTCTGAGTTGGACCATCCCATTCTGGCCTGCGCAGCATTGTCAGTAAAGCCCCCATCCTGCATTCAATCTTGTCACCTGAGCATGAGAGATCACTTCGAAGGCTCCAATGAGGGGTCACTCCATACTCGTGCTGCTGAACACCTTTCCAAACTGACTACAAGATCTTGCAAGACAACTCCGTAAATACCATCGGCCGGTGCTCGCTGCCATGGGCAAGCCTCGGAGAGCGGACAACGATTTTGTTTCATCCCCTGTTTGGATAATCAGCTCTTCTACCTCTGCCCTCGCGTCGCTAAGCCCAAGCCTCGCACATGTGCGCCTCCGCATCCGGATCGACGTCCCTCTTGCTGCCGGCGCTGTGGGACGATGCCTGTAAGACCACCCTTCTGGCGATACGGAGGTTTGGGGGGAAGGCTGCATCTTTCGGAGTGCGACTGGCCTCGCGTCGGATGCCAACCTCTATAACTCTCTTAACTCTCCAAAGCTCTTCTAGCTCGTCCAGCTCCGGCAAGCCTCCCACCTCGTCTCATTGGCAGAGTTGCTCTGCCCACTCTAGCAGTTCAGCTCTGCCAGCTCGTCCAATGGGACCGGCTTCTCATCCCGAGTCATTTCTTGGACGGCCCCGGGGCCCGGTGGGGGCGGGGCGCCCAGAGGCCGAAAACAGCGCAACACCTCCCGCCGTGATCTCTTCACGACGCGAGGGGTTCTGGGACCTCTGGGGAGGAGGTCGGCCACGCATCTTACCTCTAAGTTCACAGCTGATATTGCCTCGCATACCTCTCCGACGCACGTGCTGAAACGCAACACGTACCGTGTTCAAAGCGTCCGTGGCAACACGCTGCGTTTTGGTTCGTCGCGTGTTGGCCCACGTTTTGGCGAACGTGTCGCGGCAGACCTACGTTTTCAGTCTGCGTGTCGAGCTCCGTGTCGACACGCTGCGTGTCGCGTGTTGCGTATCGGGGGCAGTAGAGATCTTATCTCTAAGTTCTCCACTGATATTGCCTCGCCTAACTCTCCAAACTCTTACTCGGGGAAGCCAACAGGTACCAATACCGCGACTCCCCGGACTTCTCCCGGGGTGCGTTCTGACCAAGATTTCCAGGCGAACCTGGCGGTGGCGACGAGGGCCTAGCAGGAGGCCCAAACGGGGGAAGACGAGGGAAGGGTCGCGGTATGGGCACGTTTCTTCCTCTTCTGATTCTCCCCCAGCACGGACGCCCATCACGGGCTCGCCCTCCGACCTCGCCTCCGCCCCTGCCAGCCTCGGCCCTCTGCGCGGGGCGCGACCCGCTCCGCGCGCAGCGCCTCCGGGACAGTGACCGCGCGGAGGCCTCGCCTCGCACGGAGGACCGAACGGGAACGAGCGCGCGTCTAGGCTTAAGTCGGGCATATCCCTCGACAGGAGTAGAAGAGACGATTTTTCCAATTGCTTTTTTGTTATGTTTTGAATATTGCTTGGCTATGTCTTATTTTTCTTCCAAAATCCGCCTGTAGGAGGATATGCCCGACCTCAGTCTAGGTCTCTCAGATGGGGCCGGAGAAAATGGGGTTGGACAATCGCGCCGCATCGCCGATGCATCGGCGATGGGGCTCGATCTGGAGCTCGATTTCCTCCACGCCGACGGAGCCGATGCATCGCCGACGTCGCTGGAGCATCTGATCCTCCGACCCCAGCTACTTCGACGTCGTCTAGGAGGCCTTGTGGTGTGCGGGGATCGGTGGGCGAGGGGCAGCGAGAGGTAAAAGTCCTCTGCGCTGGGGCTCGGCGCTCCCTCGCACCCCGAGACCTTGCCCTGTGAAGCTGGAGCCTGGAGCAGCGCGCCTCGGTCGGGCCGCCGTGGGGCCACAGCCTCCCGGGCGGAAGGACCGAGCGAGACAGGCCGTTGCGCTTTTTCCGCTCCTCGTCGATTCCTGGCGCGCTCGCGAGGAAGCTTCCGGTGCCGCTGTGCACGCTCTGAGCGCCGACGGGTCCGAGCAGCAGGCCAAGTGAGCGGATCGCTGTGCGTGCAGGCGAGGGCTGGCGGGAAGAGGACGTTCCGTGGGCGGGAAACACATCCATATCCACGGTTTCGCGGGGCGGGCCCCCAGGCCGCGGCCTCACGGACATGGGGTGTTATTGAGCCCGCAGGGCGGGAGTCACGGCGGGCCTCCAGGGGGAAAGTCACACGCCAATCTCACGATCTGTGGGTGTTCGGAGTGCGGCCTCGACGAGGGCCAGTACCAATCGTTGCAATGTATCTTGGGGCCGTATGTGCGCGCCTTGTGGGATTGCGCGGTCTTGGGGGCCAGCTGAGAGCCTTTGGAGGGTCCATGGGCCACGAAGTGCGTGAGGCGTGTGCCGAATTAAGGCTCCAGGGAGCCGTCCTGAGAGGCCAGCTGAGAACCGCACGAAGTGGGTGAGGGATGTGCCGAATTGAGGCTCCAAGACGACGTTTCAGGGGCCAGCGTAGCGCCCAGCATGCACGAAGTGCGTGAGGGGTGTGCCGAACTGATGCGCCTGTGAGTTGGATTGTGCCAGAATCTACGAATCCGCGAGCTCCCTGGGCATTTGACTTGTTCGAAGATGTCTCGAGCGAGAG